CAACATCCGGGTCGGGGCCAGGCTAACGAGCAGGAACTCCATGCAGGGCTCCCACGTGAGCGGCAGGGGTCACGTGGGCGGCAGGGGTCACGTGAGTGGCAGGGGTCACGTGGCCACCCTCCACTGCCTTCGTAGCGGCACGAGCAGGAAGCTGGATTGGAAGCAGAGCAGCCAGGGCTCACCCCAGCACCCCATGGGCGACACTGTCGGTGGCAACAGGGCCCCGGGCGTGGGGTTTAAAGGGAGACATGAGGTAAAGGCTAACGAGTCTTGGAAGTCAGATCACCTGGGTTTGAATCCCTTCCCTCCTATTTCTAGTTCACTAGCTCTGAGATCTTGGCATCCATTTGTCCCAACATTTCAAATGTCTACTCAGTGTTCCATATGAGAGGGAACTTTAAAAAGCTCACAGAAAACTGGAATAAAAAACAGAGATATATTTTGATGCAAAATAAGTTTTAAATCCATGCATAAGAAAGGATTTTCAAAAAGTTCATGGAAAATGTGTAATATGAAAACACTATGGGCCTGGCTCCATGGTGCAGTGTGGTGGAATGAGAAGGCTGTGCCAAGATGGCTGCTCGCAAGCGAGCATCAGTTACTCAGAAATGGCTTCAGAAACCACCTGGCAACAGAGCCTGCCTGGCAACAGGCTGTGATTGGTTAGGGCATAAACCGCCCCTTGACCAGATTGGCTGCTTCTGCTATATAAGCTGCTGCACAAACTGAAATAAACGAGTCTGTGGGCTGCTCACCTCTGACCAGCTTTTACGCGACTCCCGGTGTCTGTGTGGTGACTTCACTCCTCTTGCCCCCACTGCGTTCCTCCTCCCAGAATGAATCCACAGCAACAGGGCAGTAGGTTGATTCTCAGCCTATGGTGCTGGCATCCCATATGGATGCCGGTTCGATTCCCAGCTGCCCCTCTTCCGATCTAGCTCTCTGCGATGACCTGGGAAAGCAGTAGAAGATAGCCCAAGTCCTTGGGCCCCTGCACCTGCATGGGAGACTGGGAAGAAGCTCCTGGCCCCTGGCTTCAGATCAGCATAGCTCCGGCTGTTGTGGCCCTCTGGGGAGTGAACCAACGGATGGAAGACCTCTCTCTCTGTCAGTACCTCTCACTGTCTGTAACTCTACCTCTCAAATAAATAAATAACATCTTTAAAAAAATAGAAAACACTACACAGAGACTTTTAAAAATTGCACCACACAGAGATTTTTAAAAATTGCACCGAAATAAGTTTATCATTTTGTTTAAATGAAGGGTTTTTTTTTTAAAGATTTATTTATTTATTTGAAAAGCAGAGGTAGAGAGAAGGAGAGGAAGAGAGAAAGAGAGAGAGGTCTTCTATCCACTGGTTCACTCCCCAGATGGCCACAATGGTCAGGGCTGGGCCGGTCTGAAGCCAGGAGCCAGGAGCTTCCTTTGGGTCTCCCATGTGGGTCCAGGGGCCCAAGCACTTAGGCCATCTTCTGCTTTCCTAGGGCATTAGCAAGAAGCTGGACCAGAAGTGGGTCAGCTGGGACTTTAACCAGTGCCCATATGGGATGCAGGTGCCTCAGGTGGTGGCTTTACCTGCTATACCACCGTGCTGGCCCCAGTTTTTCTTCTTTGTTTATTTATTTGAAAGTTGGAGTTAGAGAGAGGGAGAGAGAGAGATCTTCCATCTGCTGGTTCATTCCCTAGATGGCTGTGATGGCCAGAGCTGGGCCAGGTCAAAACCAGGAGCCAGGAGCTTCTTCTGGGTCTCCAGTGTGAGTACAGGGACCCAAGCACGTGAGCCATCTTCCACTGCTTTTTCCCAGGGCATCAGCAGAGAGCTGGATCAGAAGTAGAACAGCCAGGACTGAAACTGGAGCCCAAGTGGGACGCCAGCACGACAGGTGTGGCTTAACCTGCTCCACCACAACACCAGCCCCAAATGCATCTTTCAATGGCATTTCCCCACACGCTTTCTGAAGCAGCCTGGGACTTCCTGAGTATCTACGCTAAATAAAGCAGGCAGGTGCTGTGAGTCAGGAGCTGCTGACTGGAGGGGGACTGAGGCACTCAAATGCCACAGAGCAGGGAATGACAAATTGTAGCAAATGTGAGGGGTAGGAATTGGGGGGCGGGGAGTGATGGAGGGTCCAACTGAGGTTTGCTTGTCCCTCAAGAGGGGACAAAGAAGCCCAAGCTGAAGAAGCGGGGGCAGGTGGAGGGGAGGAGAGGACAAGCCAGGCAGAGGCAGAGCATGTGCAAGGACCCTGGGGCAGGGCTGGGTTTGGTGGTTCTGGGGCCTTGAAGAGCCAGTGGTGTGCCACTCCGTGTGCAAAGGAGAGGGGCGTGACATGGAGTTGTTGAGGGCAGCAGGGCCCTTCTGGGATTGGCTGCTGGCTGCTGAATGTGTTGGACAAGGTGCAGGGGGTGACAGTCATGTCTGGGGCAGGAGTCAGAGATGCGCTGGCATATGAAGAGAGCTGTAGGGGGCGGGGGATGTAGAAGTGGGTCCAGGTGAATTCCAGGTAAACCACATTTTTGGGGGGTGAAGCAGAGGGGAGCTAGGGATGACATCTGAGTGTTCAGCTTGACTCGTCTGCTGGATGGTGGTACCACGGATTGACCCGGAAAGGCTCAGAGGACAACAGGGTTGGGGACATTGCTAAGTGACATGACCAGGAGACAGTGAGGCCAGGTGCCTAGCTCTTCGGGAACTCAGTGCCTGGTCACTGTCAGGACACAGGTGCAGATGGTGTTGACAGCCGGGAAAGCCGACAGCGTCACCCAAGGAGGGTGCACTCATACGGAGACGCAAGATAACTGGTCCAAGCCCTGAGCCTGTGTGGTCCCCAGCACGCAGAGCCCGAGTGGAAGAGGAGGAGGATGCCGGGAGAACTTGGGATGAGAGTAACAGAGTATCACCCTCTACATATTGCTTGAGATTGAATGAGCTAATGCATTAACACGTGCTTAACTTGTTATACTCTTGGTTACCTAGCATGGCGAACATGGCAGTTACTGAATTCTGTTTGCTGTGGCAAGGTGCCCGCTGGCCGGGGGCATTCAGGAGCAGGCCAGTTTGAGCTGCTGCTGGAGATGCCAGCATTCATATTATACTGCCTAGATTTGAGTCCCAGCCCCGCTCCTGACCCCAGCTTCCCGCCAGGGCACACCTTGGGAGGCAGCGGGTGATGGCTCCCATGGCTGGGTCCCTGCCACCCTCGTTGGAGACCCAGACTGAGTTCCTGGCTCCCCGGCTTTGACCTAGCCCATCCCTGGACGTTGTGTGGTTTTGGCAAAAGATGGCAGGTTAATAGAGAAATAGATGAAGCGAAGGGATTTGAAATGGGTCTTGAAGAAAGGGTGGGTTTGAATATTCAGATAAAGGGAGAAGGAACAGAATGCGTAACGATGGGGAAATGTGATAAAACCCCACAGTCTTCAGAGGAACATGCAGCGCTGTATGACAGTCGCTTGGGCTGCATCTCAGAAAGCTGGTAGACGGATGCTACTTTAGTTCGTAGCTACGGCACCGGCTGCGGTTTCCACTGTTATGTGGGCAGCCAGCGTCTCCTAGCAATGTCTCTAACCGAATCAGGTGCAGCCACCGCATCCAGCAACCGTGAAAAAGCCGGGCAGGAGCCACACATTCTATTCTGTGATTTGGATTTTAAAGTTCAAAACCATTTACACACTTCGCCTTGCACTTAAACACAGTGACAACGACGATAATGCAAACACCTGCTGTTCTCGTGGTTATTGGCATAAAATTCTGTGAGGTCCGGGGCGGGGGGGGTGGTGGGGTTCCGAACGTGCCTGCTGGAACAGAGCTAGCAACCATTTAATTCTAGTTTTGCCACCAGCAGGTACCATGACCTTCCGTTTCAAATCCCTGGGCTGTAAAAGCACAAGAACACTTTGAAGTCGCCCAAACACTGTCAGGATGAATTGTATAAGTATGCAGAGCTGGAGACTTGCTTCAGAGCAAAAAATCTAAATCTGCAGTCAAGGAATAGCAAGCAATGTCTTTCCCCTCTGTGCAGAGGTGCAATCAATGGCCAGCCTGGCTATCATCTTGTCCAACCCTTTTGCGTGGCTCCTTTTTCTAAGTCCTGCTTAAACAGACTGCTTCCACGGGCTGCTGTCTCCCTTTTCCCGGTTGTACTCAGAGTTAGGAAAAAAAGTCTTCACTTGAATTTTTGCTGTTTAGACTCGTCGCAGCCAGGTTTAGATTCTAACAGATGCACGGATCTGGAGGTCGGAACGAAATTTCTGCTCACCAGGCATCTAGAAGTGTCTGCTCCATAAAGCTCTCTATAAAGAGACAGAGGCACGTATTGCCGGTGAAGTTTAAGGGTAATTCACCAGCATCCCTTCAGCCAAGTGAAGCTTTCTAATCAGTTATGAACAGGAGGCACGGCAGGGGGATGGGAGGCAGGATTCCAGCAGTCAGTACCCATCTCCATCGGAAGCACCAGAGTTACAAAGACTGACCGACAGCAGCACGGAGGGCACGCCCAAGCCAGTTCTGCGCGTGGCTCTCGTGCGTGTCAGCAGCTGCATCTTCCAGAGTCCAGGTTCCTGATGCGGAGCCCTTGGGAGCTGCTGGCACCTGCTGGCAGTGGAGCCCAGTGGGGAGTGCTTGGCCAGGAGCCCCGTGCAAGTCCTTTCTCACCATGATTTGTCTCAGCACCCCTCTTGTTTCTTTGTTCACCCCTCTGGCATTATTTTATTTATACAGTTTGCGGGCGTTCTGAACGCTGGAAGCCGTCGGTCCATCTGGTTGGCTTCTCGGGCTCCGCGCAGAGAACCCAGAGTGGTTAGGGCTAGGGCGCACCTGTGAGCCAGCCTGGAGGCAGGGCCAACTTGGTGGGGCGGGGCCAGGTGTGGAAAGGGCGGGGCTAGGAGGTGAACAGAGGCGGGGCCAGCTCTGCCGGGGCGGGGCCGGGGCAGGACCAGGCGCCGCGAGTCTCCTATCGCAGCCCGGCCCCACCCAGAGCAGAGACGTTAAGGTGGGCTCGGCAGCCGGAGCTGAGGAGCCGACGAGCCGACGAGCCGACGAGCGGAGGGGCAGGTGTCCGGCCCCTGTCGTCGCTCCAGTCCCGGAGGCCCTCCCGCGTGAGGCCGGGGCGATGGCGGCGCGGGGGTCGCGGCCCCGCGCGCTGCACCTGCTGCTGCTGCTGATGGAGCTGGTGGCCGGGCGCTGGGCGGCGGGGGGCGCCGCGCCGCGAGGTGAGTCTGGTTGCGGGGGTGGGGGGGCACTTAGCGTCTTTTTCTCTGGTCGTTGGAGCGGGGTTCCGTTTCAGCGCCCAGGGCTGGTCGTGTAAGCGCAGGGGAGAAGCCCCTTTTAGTTCCCGGGCCGGCTTAGCTGCGGGGACTGCGCGTG